GGATTATTTACATCCGAATTTATCAATGGTTCTGCATTTTTAGTTGCATTGTCAGCAGTTTTTGCATTATCAGATACTAATTCCTTGTATTTTTCAGTGTTATTTCCATATTCAAGTCTAACAGGTAAACCAAGAAGCCAGTCAATAGCTTTTTGTCAATCTTGAATAAAGGACAGTTAACATCTCTGAGATACTTTTCAAAGAACTTGAGCCAGTCACTGCTGTGGAAGTTTCTTAAATTACCTCTGTCTTCAGTCTTGTAGTGTCTGATTTTCTGGTCTTGAAGCCAAAAAAATGAAGTTTCTAAATTCCATTTCATCTTTGCAGTTGAAGCCGGCAGGTTGTGGTAATCGCGAGCCATCAGCTTGCGTCAGAACATAGTCCCCGCTTCTTGCTCTCCTTGGCTTTTACTATTTTACTTTGGCAAGGAGACCATCATTCGCTAACTTCCTGGGACTTGCATGCATGAAAATGCAATTCTTTTTCCTACCTTCACCTTGAGATAATTTGGCTGGATACAGAGTTCTAAAGGAAAATATTTTTTGTTTTAACTTTGAAGTCATTGATATATTTCCTTTGAGTTCTGGGTTGCTCTAGAGAAGCAGAATGCTATTCCAATTCATTCATAAATAATCTGCTTCTTTCCTCTCTGGAAGCTTTTGGGATCTTCGCCTCATCTTAGAGTTATCGCGTTCCCAATGAAGCCCCTTCGTGGGCCTTTTTTCTCTTACTGTGCTGCCCAGCCAGGGGTCCAGTCAGGAAAGACCCGGATCTTCAGTGCTGGGGCACTTTCTTGAACGTTCCCCCTTTCGCATCCACTTTCCGTGTTCCCTCTTACATGGTTGCTGGGAGGCCTAGATTGCTATTCTGAGCCCAGAGCCTTTCCGGTTGAGCCTTCACAGAGACTGAGCTTCCTGTTTCTCTGGGGAGAAGGAGGAGTGTCAGGGACAGCCACTCCTCCTGTCTCCAGCCCCACCCCAAAACCCACCCTCCCAGTGGGAGCCTTTCCCTTGGGTGTCTAGAAAGCAACAAGTATAATGATTTATGGAAAATCTTTGCTGTAATATAGGTGGCATGGATCTGGCCTTGCTAATTAATGCAGGCACCTATTGTTACCAGGCAGCTGCTAAGCCCTTCCTGCCATGAATGACTAAAGACAAAATTCTGATTGAGTTCTCCTTGTGTTCTGCATGCTCCTTTTCTATTTCTGGGCTGCATCTTCCTTATTAGTTGGCTTAAGTTTCTCCTGGACATCTTATGCAGTCTGATTTCTACCATCCAGGTTGTGCCGCCAAACTGTCCTTTATGCCTCAGTTTCTCAGCTTCTGGGGGCTCTACCCCGGTGTGCCTTGTACCTCTGGTCTGGGTGTAGTTTCCTCAGGCTGCCTTCCTGGGGCTATGCCCCACCTGCCTCCCAGCCTGCACTTTCTCCCTGGTCCCTGTCTCCCTGAGTCCAACTGCAAGCCACTTCCGGGTTCCAGGCCTTGAGGCGAAGCCAGTCTTCGAAGGCACAAGTGGGTCCTTTGAAGACTGGCTGTGCCTCAGTCTTCAACCATCAGTCTGTCCCATCTCATGGTTCACTCTGTTGAGCCCGTGGGTTTTGCCTCAAGAAAATGATGCCTCGCCGGGCGCGGTGGCTCAAGCCTGTAATCCCAGCACTGTGGGAGGCCGAGGCGGGTGGATCACGAGGTCAAGAGATCGAGACCATCCTGGTCAACATGGTGAAACCCCGTCTCTACTAAAAATACAAAAAATGAGCTGGGCATGGTGGTGCGTGCCTGTAATCCCAGCTACTCAGGAGGCTGAGGAAGGAGAATTGCCTGAACCCAGGAGGCGGAGGTTGCGGTGAGCCGAGATCGTGCCATTGCACTCCAGCCTGGGTAACAAGAGCGAAACTCTGTCTCAAAAAAAAAAAAAAAAAAAAAGAAAAGAAAATGATGCCTCTTCTAAAGTGGATTTGTGAGGTGTGTAGAAAGCACCCCCTCTTCAGTAGCCTTGGTTTCCTTTAGAACTGCAAAGACTAGACCCATCAGCTGTGCGGGATCTTCAGGAACTGCTGAAAGCCAGGGTCACCACTCAACCATTAGTCATTGCCCACAATGAGCAGGGCTTCATTCTAGGCACAGAATTCTCCTTCTCTTTCTTCAGCCCTTCCTGTCACCATGATATCCAGGGGGCTACCAGGAGAGGGTCAGCTAGTTCCTTATTTGGAGATATTTGTCCTGTGTATTCTCTTTTCATCTTCTCCTGGCAACCTCTAGGCATTGTGACATCCAGCCACTGCCCCAGAGCATGAAAGGATCTGGCCTATGCTTGATCCCTGGGACCTCTCCCATGCCCACCATTCATTCATCAGGTGCATTCCAAAATTATATTGCTCCTACAGAGGAACGAGGGAAAAGCGGAAGACAGAGTATTTCAAGTCAAAGGGATGCCACTCAGATTTACACATCAGGAAATGCAATGACAGGGGACTGTTAACTGCGGGATCTTGGAAACAATAAGAAAGTAATGTTAACCTGAGCAGCTCTGACCACCACCCCCCTCCCCAGTTCTGACTGATGCCATTATTGAGCTATGTCTTAGCTACTGTATTTATCACAGGCTAATGAGGATCTGCACAATGGTATTGTTGGGAAGAAGTAAATTAAAAACGTTTAGTGTTCTGATTCAACCTAAGGAAACTGTGTCTCATTCAGACCTGGGGACCTCACTCACTACCACGTGTCTGCTCCAGATGCCGACCAGGCTGTGCTATCCCCTGGCAGCTGCCACCCCTGCCTATGGGGCCATGGGTCAGGATGGAGCCGCTTCTACCCTTGACAGCTTCCTGTCTTTTTAAGCCTTAAGCCTCAGCCTTTCACAGGTTGAGGGATGAGATTTATTTTGCTTTGAGGTAAATAGGTTATATAGGGAAGCGAGCTCTAGGAAGGAAGGTAGACCTTCTATATTTTTCTTCTTTTTCCTCATTCCCCTGGTCATGGTCTTCTTTGCTGTGTTTAAAGAGCAGTGCCTTTTAGCCAATAAAGAAATCCTCTGGAACGCATCTGAAAGTATTTTAAAATGTTCCCCAGCTGATAAGGATGGCTTATGGCTATACTCCCAGCATTTTGGGAGGCTGAGGTGGGAAGATGGCTTGAACCCAGGATTCCAAGGTTGCAGTGAGCCATGAAGGTGCCACTGCACTCCAGCTTGGGTGACAGAGCAAGACCCCATCTCGAATGAAATAAAATAAATTAAATTCAAATGTGGATTTCAACATGTAAACACAGTGTCCACTCCAGGAGAGATCATTAAGTACCCAGGGTCTTGCACCTTAGGTGCACCTTCAAGCGCATGACCTGTGACCACTGCAAATATAGTCGTGCTGTCAGTGAGAGACTTTGCAAAATGATGGCTAGGGCTCCAGAAAGTTCTAAACAGGACAAAGGCTACCAGCTCTCCATTTTTATGGTAGTTGCAGTCCTGGTAAATTAGGTGGGTATTGAAACCATACTTTGTATGTATGTAAAATGAAATTAGGTTCTAGTCTCAGAAGGTCGTTTGGGATATGGAGCAGTTGCCCTTGGCCCCTGAAAACCCATGTCATTGTCACCACCAAAAACAACTCCACAAATTTCCAAAATGCCTTGAGGTGGCAGTACCCTGTTGCAGAGAACCACTGGTGCAGAATCTACCATAGAAATCAAGACAGGTGGCCAGGGACAATGGCCCACATCTATAATCCTAGAACTTTGGGAGGCCAAGGTGGGCGGATCACCTGAGGTCAAAAGTTCAAGACTAGCCTGGCCAACATGATGAAACCATGCCTCTACTAAAAATACAAAAATTAGGTTAGACACAGTGGCTCACACCTGTAATCCCAGCACTTTGGGAGGCCAAGGCAGGCGGATCATCTGTGGTTAGGAGTTCGAGACCAGCCTGGCTAACATTGGTAAAACCCTGTTTCTACTAAAAATACAAAAAATTAGCCAGGCAGGGTGGCGCGCCTATAATTCTAGCTACTTGGGAGTCTGAGGCAGGAAAATCGCTTGAACCCAGGAGACAGAAGTTGCAGTGAGCCAAGATTGTGCCATTGTATACCAGCCAGGGCTACAGAGTGAGACTCTGTCTCAAAAAAAAAAAAAAAGAAATCAAGATAGGTGATAGCACATATATTAGTTGGGGTTTTCTTCCAAGTAACTGAACCTATGGGATCTGTATCTATCTATAGTTTTATCTAGAAAGAGAGAGAAAGATTTATTTTTTTATTTTATTTTATTTTTTTTAGACAGAGTTTCACTCTTGTAACCCAGGCTGGAGTGCAATGGCGCGATCTCGGCTCACCACAACCTCCGCCTCTTGGGTTCAGGCAATTCTCCTGCCTCAACCTCCTGAGCAGCTGGGATTACAAGCACGCGCCACCATGCCCAGCTAATGCTTTGTATTTTTAGTAGAGACGGGGTTTCACCATGTTGACCAGGATGGTCTCGATCTCTTGACCTCGTGATCCACCCGCCTCGGCCTCCCAAAGTGCTGGGATTACAGGCTTGAGCCACCGCGCCCGGCTGAGAAAGATTTATTTTAAGGAATTAGCTCACACATAATGGGGACTAACAAATATGAAATCAGCATGATGTTGGCTAGGGACCCATGAAAGGCTTAATGTTGCAGTCTTGAGTTCTAAGGCAGTTTGGAAACAGAATCCCTTCTTTGGCTGGGACCTCTGTCTTTTTCTTATAAGGCCTTCAGCTGTTTGGATGCTGCCTACCCCCATCATGAAGAGTAATGTGCTTTACTCAAAGGTTGCTGCTTTAAGTGTTAGTGACATCTGAAAAGTACCTTCACAGCAACATCTAGGCTAGTGTTTGACCAAACAGCTGGGCAGTATGGCCTAGCCAAGCTGACATATAAAATTAACTATCACAGTATATGACAAAGACGTTGAAGAAGTTTCCAATCCTATAATAGGGATTCAAAGGGTAGTCACTGTAAATATTTTTATGTGTTTTTCTTTGCAGCATAAGCAGCGTGCAGCGTTCAGACAATGGGTCATATGTCTGTAAGATGAAAATAAACAATGAAGAGATCGTGTCTGATCCCATCTACATGGAAGTACAAGGTAAGTCCACAGACCAGAGTCCCATTGCCAGAGAGCTGTTAGTTTTAGAGCCTGTGTTAAATGTTTTATATATAACACTCCAGAGTTTTACCTGCTCATTTATAACTCTGTATGCAAATCTTGCCAATCTATCAGCACTGAAATTTTTACAAGATATTCTCCTTTGTAGTTTGTAAGTACAGTAATAATGAAATGAATTCAATTCCTGAAGTTTGAGCTCTGTCCTAGGCATTAAAGGTTAGATAAAAAGAGATTATGGACTTCCTTGTCCACAGATTATTTACAATAAAAAATAAGCTGAAGAGTTCTTTTTAGAAGCAGACTGCATTCTACTATCTAGTTTCCAGTGCTGGTACCAACTATCACTCACCTGGTCAAGTGGCTCTTGGCTTATTGTTCAGCATCTTTTCCTGTCTTCCCTGTGCAGACAGTGAAGCCCTGGAGGGTGAGTGGTTTTCCTGGACTGGCTCAACAGCTCAGCCCGAGACTTCCTTTGGGCACTCGTATGTGTCAGGTGCATGGTTCAGAGAAGTTCCATGACATCATATAAGGTCTGTGGGGGTGAGGAGTGAGACATCAGGCTAGGAAAAGGCAATGTCTGCCCTCAAGGAACTTGAACTCTAATGGGCAATGTGAGCTGATGTACAGGTGAGCCCAGGTCCTGGGTTTGGTGCCCTGAGTCCGGGGGTTTGCCTGCCTAGTTCTGCAATGGGAGGGCTACAAGGAGGAAGCATCCATTATCACCCCCAGTGGTCATCCTCACTGCATTCTGGGGTGCTTGTGTCCCTCCTCTCTGAGGTGCCCCTTCTCTCTGAGGTGCCCCTCTTAGCAGAACCATTAGGTCACATTAGCTTTTCAATCAGAAACATCTCCCACTAAAAGGCTGCTGTGCTATCCATTCTTTTGTGAACCTCAACTTGATGACCACCAATGTGGAGGGAAGCCTCAGGGAGCACGACTGGAAGGAAAGAGGAGGAGTGAGTGGGGGAGACAGAGTGGGGAAGAGACTCTCTCAGAGTTGTCCCCTGGCTGGACAACTCTTTCTCAGGGTTATGTCAATGTCAGCCAGAGAGAGGGTTTCCTACATTTGCAGCTAATCTGGGGAAAAAATATTTAGAGGAAATTTTATTTGTCAGAATCCCAGAAAAATGTCTAGAGCGGGAACACGTTAAGTCCAAATAGAGTTTCAAAAATCCTTGAAACAGTACAAAATAATTTTATTTCATATAACTGCCACATCATTCCTGTTGGATCCCGATCTGTGAGTTCCCAATCCCCAAAAGAGCACAATTAACTGGACTTGTTATATTTTTGACACCTGCCCCAAATAAGTACTGACTGGCTTTCTCTGAGCTTCCTTGGGGCCTTCATTTTGGAAATTACAGTAGATCTTAGAATTGCAACTGCAATTATGTGTATACTGTTTTCATGAGAATCTGCTTTGGAAAGCACTTAGTCTTAGATAAGGCTGCGGATTTTAAAATTCATTGTGACTCATCTGAAAGTCACACACACAATAGATTGTCTTCATACCATGGACAGATCTATTACATAGTTCTGTTTTACTCTGTTTATTTTAGTAAGAAATACTGAAAACCTGCCAACCAGTCAGTCCCAGGAGTTTGAGCAACACCTGATTTAAGAACTGCCTGTAGCCTGCCTTCTGGTAAAACCAGTTCTGAATCACTATTTATAGCCTCTTTGGCAAAGCATCCTAGAAAGCTGGCTTAAGGTAGAGTGGCAGGAATTAGCCACTGTGCTCTTTCTTATTCAATTTAAGGAGGTGAAAACTGATGAATACAGACCTGACTGAGGTGGTAGATAAAGAAATCTGTTGTCAAGGCCGGGTGCAGTGGCTCACACCTGTAATCCCAGTACTTTGGGAGGCAAGGGCAGATGGATCACTTAAGGGAGTTCGAGGCCAGCCTGGCCCACATGGTGAAAACCGATCTTTACTAAAAATACAAAAATTAGCAAGAGGTAGTGGCGCACACCTGTAATCCCAGCTACTCAGGAGGCTAAGGTAGGGGAATTGCTCGAACCTAGGAGACGGAGGTTGCAGTGAGCCGACATCAGCCCACTACATTCCAGCCTGGGTGACAGAGTGAGACTGCATCTCAGAAAATAAATAAATAAATCTGTTGCCAAGTTCTAGTCCAGTTTCCATTCCCCTTTGGGCTCTGTCTCTGCTTTCCGATCTGAAACATTCTTTCACATAACGCTTTCTCTGCAGGACTTCCTCACTTTACTCAGCAGCCTGAGAGCATGAATGTCACCAGAAACACAGCCTTTAACCTCACCTGTCAGGCTGTGGGCCCGCCTGAGCCCATCAGCATTTTCTGGATTCAGAACAGCAGCCGTGTTAACAAACAGCCTGAAAAATCCCCCTCTGTGCTAACTGTTCCCGGTAAGTTCAAGCCGTGGGCTTATTTATTGATTTATCCCCTAATAGTGAAAGGGATAAAAAGTTTGGTGATCCTTGCTGTGCACCACAAGCAGGCAGTAGAGATAGATGAAAGCGTAGGTGTGGCAGCAAGATTATGGGACCAGGTAAGAGGGGAAGGCAGGTGGGAATCACAGGTGTGAGAATTCACAGGCCAAGGTGGGGAAATAGGTGAGGGCCCTCTGAGGGTATATAGGGTCAAGTTATTGAACTGGCCAGAATCCCCGAGCCCAGGCAGCAGGAGCCCTGCTCACATCTCCCGTTGCACCAATGGCCTTGCTGGCCTGGTCTTGTGTTTATGGAATCATTGACATGAATACCTCAGTGGATTTGACACCAAGAGAGTGATTGGTCATGGGGAGCTATTGCAGGAAGTATGAGTCCTTGTGGGATTGTGGCTGAATGCATATTCCGTGGTCATCTTGATTTCCATCCAAATGAAAGCGCCCCAGCTTTAGTCCCACACATCACTAATAATGCTCTTGTCAATACCATTGACATTTCCCATGCACTGAAGTCAGTGTGCTCTTCTGTGGCTCCTCTGACTGCATCTTTCAGCAACAGGCAAGGTTACCATACTCCCTCCCTGTTTCCATTCTACAGTGACTGCAGCATGCCTGAGGCTGTTCTAAGCCTTCAGGACATAGCGTGGACTTTTGGAAACACTTCTTGGCTTCCATTTCATTGAATGACATCAATTCATTGCTCCTCGTTTGTCATTGACTAGAGTTTTGAATGGCAGGGCTCAATCCTGGTCCCCCTTCTTTTACTCTGAGATGCTTCCTTTTGGGAGAGTTTCTCTGGGCCCCTGGCTTTAACATTATACATAAGAAATGACCTTGAACTTTACATCTCCAGCCCAGACCCCTCTCCTGAGCTGCAGGCTCATGAATCCAGCCATCTCATTGGCATTGTCACTTACTGGGCACATAGGCATCTCAGAATGAAACTCTTAATTTCCACCCTAGACTTGTTCCACTTCAGAATTCCCCATCTTAGTGAATGTTAGCACTATTTTTCCACCCTTTATTTTTCTCATTTTTCATGTTGGCATTGGCAGTTCTGTCAGTTCTGCTCCTACAATGCATCTGAAATCTGTCTTTTCTCCATTCCTGTTACCACCACCCTGGTCCACATCACTGCCAGCTCTTGCCATCACCTCTGCAGTAACTTCCTAACTGGGTCTTTTTGCTCCCAGCCTTGTCCCCACTCCCATCCACCCTCCTCAGCAGCAGATGACAGTAGCTCCCCGTTGTCTTAGATTGTCACCCAGTCCTTCCTGCTCTTGCACTAGGGGCTATGTGTTCCAGCTCCTACCCATCTGTCCAGCCCAGCCCCATCCCACGCTCTCCTCCCTGCTCATTAGGTACGAGTTACACTGATTGTATTTTACTTCTCCAGGCACATCCTGTTCTTTCCTGTCTCATGACCTTTGCACTGTCTCTTATCTGCTTGCAGTGTTCTTCTATCTGCCCTTTGTTCCATGACCCACCTCAAACACCACTTCTTCAGGGAGGCCGTCCCTGATCACTCCGAATCCCATATTCCTGTGTACTCCTCTGTTGCGCTTGTCAGTGTCTTTAATTACTCAGTGTATTGGTTTGGTCTCCTCGTCTAGCTTCTTAGAGAATGTATGTTCAGTAAGGACAAGGGCTTTCTCTCTCCCATTCACCTCTGCACAGCCAGTGTCTGGAGTGGAGCCTGACTCTAGTAGTACTCAGTAATTATTTATGCCTAGGATGGATCAGTAAGTGAATGCCAGCCCCTAGCTATTAACTCTGAATCACTTTTCTAACCCATGACTTAAGGAGGAATGTTATGGTTTTCTCTCCTTCATCTGAGTTTTATTTGAGTTTTTCTAGGGAATTAGCAAGAAACTTCTTGGTTCAAATTCAAGGATGATTACACTGAAATCCCTTATAAAAGACTTCTTTTCATTGAGGTAAAACTGACATATGATTAAATGCATAGAATTTAATTGTACAACTCAATGAGTTTTCCTAAGTGTTGACACCCATGTAGCTACCACCTCAATCAAGATATAGAATATTGCCATCACTTCAGAAAGTCCCTCATGGTCCCTTCCATTGGGTCACCATCTCCCATAGGCAATTCTGTTCTGATGTCTGTCATCACAGATTAATTTTGCCTGTTCTTGAACTTCAAAAAATGGAATATAAAGTATGTACTTTTTTATGTCATATGTACTTTCGTGGCTTCTTCCACTCAACATGGTATCCTTGAGATTCAGCCATGATGTTTTATTTGTCAGTAGTACATCATTTTTATTTTTATTTTTTATTTTTTGTGAGGGAGTCATGCTCTGTCGCCCAGGCCAGAGTGCAGAGGCGTGATCTCAGCTCACTGCAACCTCCACCTCCTGGGTTCACGCAATTCTCCTGCCTCAGCCTTCCACGTAGCCAAGACTACACGTACCTGCCACCATGCCCAGCTAATTTTTGTATTTTAGTAGAGACTGGGTTTCACCATGTTGGTCAGGCAGGTCTCTAATTCCTGACCTCAAATGATCCAACCACCTCCAACTCCCAAAGTGCTGGGATTACAGGTGTGAGCCACCACGCCCGGCCAATACATCATTTTTTATTGCTGATATAGTACTCTGTTGTATTAATGTGTTAATTTGTTTTATCCATTTGTTTGGTGAACGTTTTGGATATTTATGGCAGTTGGCTATTATGAATAAAGCAGCTATGAATATTTGAGTGCAAGTCTTTTGAAGGACAAATGTTTTTATTTTGTCTTGGATAAATGCCTAGGAGAGGAATTGCTGCTTCATATGTTTAACTTTTAAAGAAGCACCAAATGGTTTTCCAAAGTGAGTGTACTATGTTTCATTCCCAGCAACAGTGGATGGGAGAGTTCCAGTTGCTCCATCCATATCTTTGCCAACATTTGATTCGGTCAGTCTTCTTAAGTGGAGACGTTCTAGTGGATTTGAAATCTAGTGGATTATTGTGATTTTAGTTTGCATTTCATTTCCCTGATGCCTAATTTTATACAAGACTTAGAAAAGATTTTAGTGTCTTTTCATGTGCTTGTTAATCTGTCATGTCTCTTTTTTGGTAAAGTGTCACTTCAGACACTTTGCCTGTTTCTATATAAATCCTAGAATCCACTTGACAATGTTTACACAAAAAAGCCTGCTGTGATTGTTTGCAATTTTGTTGTATTTATAGATAAGTTTAGAAGAAAATGACATCTTGACAATATTGAGCCTTCCAACTGATGAACATATTATATCTCTTCATTTATTCAGGTTTTCTTTAATTTCTTTCAGCAATTTTTGTAGTTTTTGAGGTATGGGTCTTACAGGTCATTTGTTAAATTGTATTTTTTTATTTTAAAATTGGAATTATATGTATTTAAGGTATACAATGTAATGTTTTGATATATATAGTGAACTGATTATTACAGTCAAGCTAATTAATATCGCTCTGTTTTTGCATAGTTATGTTGTGGGGGGTGGCAGGGGAGGGAGTGTAGGAGAACACTTAAGATCTACCCTCTTCACAAATTTCCAGTATACTGTGCACTATTGTTAACTCTGCTGTACATTAGATCTCTAGAACTTATTCATCCTACAAACTAAAACTTTCTACCTTTTGACCAACATCTCCCCAATCCTCACCCTCACCCTCCTCCACCCACCCTTTTTAACCACAGTTCTACTTTTTGTTTCTGTGAATTTAACTGTTTTATATTGGACATGTAAGTGAGACCATGCAGTAATTTTTCTTCTTTGCCTGGTTTATTCACTTAGCATAATGTCTTCCATTTTCATCCATGTTGTCACATAAATGGCAGGATTTTCTTTTTTTGTACAGGCTGAATAATATTCCCGTAATTTTTAAATCCATTCTGTTTATGGACATACCTTGTTTCCATGTCTAAGCCACTGTGAATAATGCTTCAATGAACATGGGAGCGCAGATGCATCTTTGAGATCCTCATATCATTTCCTTTGGATGTATACCCAGTATGGGGACTGATGAATCATATAGTAGTTCTGTTCTTAATTTTCTGAGGAACCTCCATACTGTTTTTCTTAATGGCTGTGCCAATTTACATTTTCACCAACAGCGTACAGCCAATCAGAATGCATTAATTTAGTATTTATGTACTAATAAATAGCATATTTTATTTCCCAGTTGTTTACTATTAGTAAATAGAAAATAGATTTTGTATGTTTTATAAAAATAGGGACAAAATCTGTCCATCTCTGTTTGTCTAGAACTTTTCTGTATGTTTTCTCAGAAATTAGAAGTGTGTTTTTGCAATAAGAGCTGCAAATTATTTTAATACCTAAGGCTGTAGTTTGTCTTGCCTTGGAAATCTGATTTATTTTTAAAAGGCCAGTTACACCCTTATAACTGGAACCTATTTTGCATTTCAAGTTCTTTACAATTTAATTTTACTTTTTAAATTTTGAACCTTTTTTTTTCTTTGGTAGAGAAGATTTGGGCTCACATTTTTTTTCCAGGTCATTATATGAAAATTCTCAAGGTGGACTACTGGGTTTAGCTGGAATCAATCTGACAGTGTTCAAATCATCAGTACCCTTTAAAAGAGTCATTGGGCCGGGCGCGGTGGCTCAAGCCTGTAATCCCAGCACTTTGGGAGGCCGAGGCGGGTGGATCACGAGGTCAAGAGATCGAGACCATCCTGGTCAACATGGTGAAACCCCGTCTCTACTAAAACTACAAAAAATTAGCTGGGCATGGTGGCACGTGCCTGTAATCCCAGGTACTCAGGAGGCTGAGGCAGGAGAATTGCCTGAACCCAGGAGGCGGAGGTTGCGGTGAGCCGAGATCGCGCCATTGCACTCCAGCCTGGGTAACAAGAGCGAAACTCCGTCTCAAAAAAAAATAAAAAATAAAAAAAAATAAAAGAGTCATTGGAATTACATGATGATCTGAAAACTTTAGGACACAAACTCAGATAGC